CGCCCTGGTTGCCCCGGGAGAACTGCCTGTACGTCATTGCTCCCCTGCCTCCCCCCTGGGATAGGCCCTGCCCCCCCCTCGTTGTCCCCGGGGGGAGTTTTTACACACACAGCCCCCCCGCGCCCTGCTACGACCCCCTTGGGGGGACCCCCATCCCCCTGTGACCCCCTCGGGGGGGGTTGGTCCCCTCCTTCCTCTGTCCCCCCACCTCACTGGCCCCCTAGGGCAGTTCCTGTCCTTCCCCGTGGCTTGAGGCCGTGGCCGGGGGGGCTTGGGGGGGGGCAAATAGGGTCTCCCCATCCTCTCTCGCTGCTGGGGACAGGCCTGTCCCTGGCTGGTGGCTCCCGGTGGCCCCTTGTCCCCTCCCGGCTGGGCAGCCCTGGCACCGGGGCCGGTGGCAGTGCTGGGTTCCCCCCACAAAGGGCGAAAGCCACGTCCCTGTCCCCCTGCCTCCCGCTGGCTGCCCGGTGCTCTCGGTGACGACCCCAGGCCCGGCGGGGTGCACAGGCACGGGGTGGGGGGGGACATCGGGGATGGCTGCTCTCTGCTAACTGCTTCCCTCCCGTCTCCCCTCAGCTCCCTGGAGGCACCGTCCCCGCTGCTCCACCCTGCCTGCATGCTGCCTGGCTCCCAGAGCCCCGCTGGGATGGGGGCACAACTTTGGGGAAGCCCCCCCCCCCCGCCCCGGCCCCCCAGGTGCGTCTTTAAGAGCCGCTCTTCGCCACCGCGTACTTTGTCCCTTGTCCCTCTGCGACGACGTGGCCGAGAGGATAATCCCTGCCTGCACGAGGTGAGGGCGAGCCGGGAGCACCTCATCCTGGCACGCTTCCTCGCCGGCACGCTCCGCCGATCCCCGCTCAGGGTGGGAAGGCGGGGGGGTCCCTCCCGGCCTGTGGTGGGGGGTGACGGCCGTCCCGTGGCTGCCCCGCTGTGGATGAGGTGGCCAGGACCGGCGTGATGGCGGAGAGCAGCTGGCTGGAGCGTCCCGGCTTGGATAAAGCAGCCGGGGAGGAATTCCTGCGGGAAGCCTTCCAGGTCCTGCTGGATGAAGCCGTGCGGAAGGGGACGGATGTGACCGAAAAGGTGGGTGAGACCCGGAGGCCCCCAGCGAGGTGGTGGGGACGGAGTGGGGGTCCCTGCCTGACCGGGGCCAAATCCTGTTCCCCCCTTCCCCGCAGGTCTGTGACTGGAAGGAGCCCCAGGAGCTGCGGGAGCTGCTGGACCTGGAGCTGCGGAGCAGCGGGGAGCTGCCGGAGCGGCTACTGGAGCGCTGCCGGGACGTCATCCGCTACAGCGTCAAAACCTGTAAGCCCTGCTGCTCCCGGTTCAGCCCACTCCTCCCAGTTCAGCCCCTCTGCTCCCCAGTTCAGCCCCAGCCGCTCCCCATTCAGCCCCTCTGCTCCCCGGTTCAGCCCCAGCTACTCCCAGTGGTCCCAGTCTGGCAAGGCTGCCTCCCTACCCCAGCCAGACGCTGTCCTGGAGTCATGGGTCTCGCACGGTCCCACTCGTGTCCCCGTCCCACACACGGCTCCAGAGGTGGCCCTGCTCCCACGGGTGACAGTTGCCCCCTTGTGGCAGCGTCCCCGGGGCATGAGTCCCCGCAGTGACAGGGATCCCATGAGGAGGGGGCCGAGGGGGTGGCTCCTGTCCCCCTGCCCCTGACACTGTCCCCGTCTCACCCCCCCCAGGTCACCCTCGCTTCTTCAACCAGCTCTTCTCTGGCCTGGACCACCACGCGCTGGCAGGACGCCTGATCACTGAGGCCCTCAACACCAGCCAGTACGTGCCCGAAAATGGGGGGGGCTGGCCCTAAGCAGGGGTATTTTGGGGTGCTGAGGTTTTGGGGAGCCTGGAAGAGGTGAGGGGGAGTGATGCCAGCAGGCTGGACCCCCCCATGGGTGTCGTGCCCCCCTGTAGATACACCTACGAGATCGCCCCGGTGTTCGTGCTGATGGAAGAGGTGGTGCTGGCCAAGCTGCGGGAGCTGGTGGGCTGGAGCAGTGGCGATGGCATCTTCTGCCCAGGTACCCAGATCCCTCCCGGTCCCGCCCGTGGCTTGTCCCTGTCCCTGTCCCCACCTGTGACCCCGGTGGTGGCTCAGCACCATCCCCAGCTGTGACGCGGGTGTCCCTGTCCCCTTGCAGGAGGCTCCATCTCCAACATGTATGCCATGAACGTGGCCCGGTTCCACTGCTTCCCGGAGAGCCGGCAGAAGGGCAGCTGGGCTCTGCCGCGCCTGGCCCTCTTCACCTCCCGGGAGGTGCGGAGCAGGGTCTGCCAGCCCCGGGATGGGGAGACGGGAAGGGGATGGGGTTTGGAACCAGCCACACCCTCCCCCAAATCTGACCCCCATCTTCTCCCCGCTCAGAGCCACTACTCCATCCAGAAAGGAGCTGCGTTCCTGGGCATCGGCACCGACAACGTCCACCTGGTCGGCACCGATGAGAGGTGAGTGCCGGAGCTGATCCCAGCTGGGCTCTGCCAGCCCTGCTTCCCCAGCCCGTCCCTGCTGCCATTTTGTTTCTCTCCCCGTCCCTCAGGGGGAAGATGATCCCCGAGGAGCTGGAGAAGGAGATCCAGAGGGCGAAAGCTGAGGTGAGGCGGGGTGGGGGACAGAGGGGAGCGTCCGTGGGGTGCTGGGTCCAGGTGCTGGGGCAGAGCCGTCCGTGAAAGAGCCTGCCCCATCCCAACGTCCTGTTGTCCGCCCACAGGGTGCCAAGCCTTTCTTCGTCTGTGCCACCTGTGGCACCACCGTCCTGGGCGCCTTCGACCCGCTGGACGGCATTGCCGACGTCTGCCAGCGCCACGGCCTCTGGTTCCACGTGGACGTGAGTAACAGGGGGAAATATCTGGGGCTGAAGGGGGGACACATGCACGTGACCCCTTGGGACCCCCCTCTTCCTGCCGGCGCCAGCTCTGACACCCCTCTCCCTGCCCAGCAGGCAGCCTGGGGTGGCAGCGCCCTGCTCTCCGGCAAACACCGGCACCTCCTGACTGGCATCGAGAGGCGAGTGACCCTCTCCGACTCTGAGCTCCCCACAAAACAGGCTCAAAACTCCCCGTTTAAGGACTTGGGGTCCCCCCTCTCCCCGTGCTGGGGGGCTCGCTGTCCCCCCCTCAAAACTCTCCTCTCCCGCAGGGCCGACTCGGTGGCCTGGAACCCCCACAAGATGCTGACAGTGGGTTTGCAATGTTCGGCCTTCCTGCTCCGCGACACCTCTGTAAGTCCCACAGCCCCTTCCCCTCTGTGGGTCTGCCCCACACCCACCACGCCGGTTGGGGGGCTGACCGCCGTCTCCCCCAGGGCCTCCTCCAGCGCTGCCACGGCGCCGGTGCCATGTACCTCTTCCAACCCGATAAATTTTACGACGTCACCTACGACACTGGGGACAAGACCCTGCAGTGCGGCCGCCGGGTGGACTGCCTCAAGCTCTGGCTCCTCTGGAAAGCCGCCGGGACCGAGGGGCTGGCGCGCCGCGTCGAGCGGGCCTTCGCCTACACCCAGTGAGCGCTGGAGTGTGGGGACACACACCAGGCGCTTCCCCCCCCTCCTGGGGCTTCACGCTCTCCTTCCTCCCTAGGTACCTGGCCGAGGAGGTGAAGAGGAGGGACGGCTTCCAGCTGGTGCTGGAGGTACAGCTCATCGCCTGGGCTCTGCTGTGTGCCGAACCGCAGCCCGGGGGGGTGTTTTATGTTGTTTCCCCCCCCTTAATAACACCCTAAGGCATTGCCAAGCCCCGGGGAGAGGAGCCACCTGCCCTGAGCTCTGTCCCAAGGTTTAAATCCCCAGGGCAGTCCCAAAATGGGGATCGGGGTCAAACTGGTGCCCCCCACCAGGGTCTGGGTCTCTGTGAGGGACTGTGATCCCTTTCCTCCTCCTCTTCCTCCCACAGCCAGAGTTCATCAACCTCTGCTTCTGGTTCGTGCCCCCCAGCCTGCGGGGCAGGGAGGGCTCCCCGGATTACTGGCCAAGGTTGGGGAAGGTGAGCGCAGGAGCCGGCCGTTCTGCCCCACCAAAAAAAACCCCCACCCCCTCCAAAATTCCACCATCCCCCCTGAACTGCAGCCCCACGGTGATGGGGTCTCCCCCATGGCACAGGTGGCTCCCGCCATCAAGGAGCGAATGATGAGGAAGGGGTCCATGATGGTGGGCTACCAGCCCCACGGTGCCAGGGTCAACTTCTTCCGCCAGATCGTCACCAACCCCGCCGTCACCAAGGACGACTTGGATTTCTTCCTGGATGAGATCGAGAGGCTGGGACAGGATTTGTGAGGACCCCAGGGGGGCCCCCTTACACCCCTTACCCTCTGCCCAGAGACCCCCCCCAGCCCTGAGGAACAGGAGCAGAACCCAGCGTTCCTCCCGGCTCCTGCGTCCCACCTTAAATTCAGAATAAAGGCGGGCAGGGCTCGGCGCCTGACCCCAAGAACATCCCACACGGGTGGAATAAAAACATTTTTACTGTTCTCTCTTCAGTATTAAAACCCCGCAAAAAAGGGTGGCGGGGGGTTGGGTGGGCAGGAGCAGGCAGCCCCCCTGCCTCCCTCAGTCCCCCTGGAAGCTCTGGAGGAGGTCGAGCACCTCGGGGTCCAGGCTGGCGGGGGCCAGGCAGGCGTAGAGGCGCGGGGCCGTGGCTTCCTGCTTCTCCCGCCGCCGCCACTCCCGCAGCATCTCGAAGCTCTGCATGACGACGTTGCGGGGGTTGTCCTCCCGAATCTGGTCCAGGCGGCTCCTCTCTAGCCCCAGGCACCCGATTCCCACCTCCTGCCACTCTTTGCCCAGTTTTTGGGCGATCTGGATCAGATCCTTCTCCGTCAAACGCCGGGGACGCAGGGAGAGAGGGGAGGACGCGGCCGGCAGCGAGACGGGCTGACGTCCCGCGTCCTCCTCCCCGCGTCCCGACAGAGCCGAGGGGCCGCCGGCCTCCCCCTTCTCCCCGGGGTCCTCGTTCTCCTCCGCGCCGGGGAGCTGGTGGAGGCGGATGAGGTCGTGGCGGTGGATCTGCCGGAGGAGGTCGGCGGTGATGCGCAGGGCCTGCCCGGGGAAGCGCTGGAGCAGGAGGCTGCAGAGGTCGGGGCGGGTGGCGGGGCGCAGTTGGGCCAGGGGCAGCCGCTCTTCCAGCAGGTACTTGAGGGTCTGGAACTGCTCCTCCGTCAGCGCCTGCTGCAGCGCCAGCAGCGTCTCCCGCTCGCCCCGAGACATGGCGCCTCGGGGGGCTCCGTCAGCCCCGCCGCCTGCCGTGGGGCCGGGTCAGCCCCCTGCCCCACAGCCTGCCGTGGGGCTGGGTCACTCTGCTGTCCCCGGTGCCCCCCAACCTGCCGTGGGGCCGGGTCAGCCTGGTGCCCCCCAGCCTGCCGTGGGGCCGGGTCAGCCTGGTGCCCCCCAGCCTGCCGTGGGGCCGGGTCAGCCTGATGCCACCCCATACTCCCAACCTGCCATGGGAC